TCTTCGTTGATTGAACTTGCTTTCCTTATAATCCATAGTAGAAAATTGGCCCCACGATAATGGTGGTACGATTGGATAATCATGAATTATTTACGTTGTGTTTGATTGGGTGATTTGGAGAGGAATTTAAAAAGGAAAATAAAAAAAAAATGTGTGAAATTAAGTAAAATGTAGGTATATTTTATTCACATTTCCTCGCTCGAGCGAGATTACAGAAACAGAGGGGTCGCTCGAGCCTAGACTCCCTCGCTCGGGCGATCTGTAAAAACATGAAAAGTACTGGTTGCTGAAATTCTCCGCTCGATGCTTGCTCGAGCGGGAGACACAATTCCTCGCTCAAGTGTAGGTCCCGTCGCTCGAGCGTGCATCTGCACACGCAAAAACCTGAGAGCTTGCAATCTACGCCTGAGCCAGCATTCCGTCGCTCAAGCGGAACTCTGATCACAAAGGTGGTCGCTTGAGCGTGGAATCCTTCGCTCGAGCGTGGAAGCCAAAATCTGGGTTTTCTAGATTTGCTTCCAAAGCTCAAACCAAGAATCAAACATATCAAAACTCAATCTTTTGGGCCAATTTTCTAGAAAACACTTGGAAACTCAGAATACAACATGTTTTGAAGATCATTTTATAAAATCAAAGCCCAAAAGTATGCCAATTGAACACCAATCACAATGAAACTTGAAGAACAATGCAAGAACATAACATGCATGAGTTCTCATGAACTCCAATGCTCCAAAACATGATCAAATGCAAGATTGAACTCTAAAACATGGTGAATTCTTGGACCACAACTAAAATATGAACATGCATGTAAGAATTTCATGAAAATAACCTCAAAATTCTATGATATGGACATGCATGCATGAATTCACTCTCAAATCAACACTTTAAGCTAATTCTTGACTCTAATCACCAATTTTCCATGAACCATGCTTGTAACAACTTAAATTCATAATTAAAAGAATGAATTCCTACCTTAAATCTTGAATTCCAAGTATGATAGCTAAAAAATGCAATTCTTCTTCAATTCCTCTAATTTTCCAAGCCAATCTCTAGATGAATCAATTTTTCTTCCAACTCTCTATCTCTCTCACGTTTTTGGGTCAAGAAGATGAAATGAAGAATGATGCCAAACAAGTGTAAAGTGTGAGAAGAAATGGCCTTGAATTAATCCACTTAGTGGCAAAAGTGTAAATAACCTATATTCCATTAATCTAGCATTACTTAATCTAATTTAATCATTCCAAATCAAATTTTAATTAAACCTATAAATCCTAATTAGCATATAACACTAATCAATTTCTGTATCGGTCGCCGATAAGACTTTCAATTTGCAATTCGAAATCAAAACATGAACAGATCATTCAATGACAGACAGATAGAAATGCAATTAAAGCAACACACTCATGCAATCAATTCAGGATTTCATCTTAATCAATTACTTATCATGCTTAATCACAATTTAACGCTAATCAGAAGTGAGGGTTGTCACACTCTCCTTATAATTCCATAGTTGAAAATTGGCCTGACAATAATGGTGGTACGATTGGGTAATCATGAATCATGAAGTAGGTAGTAGGTAGGGATATGAGTCATCTTAGCCGTTGATTGAACTTCCTTTCCTTATCACCCAATAATCGAAAATTGGCCCAATGATAATGATGGTGTGGGGTTATACTCCGTTCAAAGTCACAGACTTCCGCAAATGTGTGAGATTCAAAATCTTCTAAATGTAAACAACCTTTTAGTGACGGTCCATATGGGCTCTAGCATGGCTTTAAATGTGCAATCTATTAGTGCCCTGATTGAAGAGAGAATTACACATTGGTATAGGATCATAAAAAATATTTTATAAAATTATAAATATTAATAATTAAAATAATAAAATATTTTAATTTTTTTGTAAATATTTTTTCTAAATCTTAGCATGTGTAATTCTTCGTTGATTGAACTTGTTTTCCTTATAATCCATAGTAGAAAATTGGCCCCACGATAATGGTGGTACGATTGGATAATCATGAGTTATTTACGTTGTGTTTGATTGGGTGATTTGGAGAGGAATTTAAAAAGGAAAATAAAAAAAAAATATGTGAAATTAAGTAAAATGTAGGTATATTTTATTCACATGTCACATATTTTTTCTATTTTCTTTTCCAAATCCCTTCTTAAGGGCTAGTTTGACATCATCTACAAAAGCTAAAAAGCAGAAAGGTCACTAAAAAAGAAAAAAAGTTCATACTATTCACCTTATTTTGGCGGGAAATCTGTCGAGTCAAAAAGGAAGAAGAAGAAGAAGAAGAAGAAGAAAAAAAAAAAAAAAAAGAAAAAGAAAAAATAAGAAAGTGCAGCCACAAATTTCTATGAAAAAAGAAAACGTGGCACAATGTAAGCTACAAATTACCATAAAAAAATAAATAAAATTGAAATGCATGGAAACAGCGCAGTGTTGCTGACTGTGTTAGGAAGGACAATTCGGTAATTTTGATATTTGTTATAATATTTTATTGCACATTTTTTTTAAAGAAATTAAAGTTTTTTCCCAAATATACATTTTTTTTCTCTATTTTTTTAATAAAAAAAATAAATAAAAATATACTTATATAAATCATCTCAAATAACTACTAAGGTAAAGTTTGGCAATCCAAAAATAATCTATATTTTTATCTTTTTATTTTTTTTCTATCACATCACCTCTCTACTTTTTTACACATTTTTTTGTAAAAAAATAAAAACTATACTTATTTAAATCATTCCAAACATCTTCTAAATTTTTTAATTAAATACAACATTAATATATAGGAGGTAGTGGGGAGGAGCATGAGTCATTTTAGCCGTTGATTGAACTCCGTTTCCTTATCACCAAGTTGTCGATAAGGTCCCCAATTAAATACAACATTAATATATAGGAGGTAGCAGGGAGGAGTATGAGTCACCTTAGCCGTTTATTGAACTTCCTTTCCTTATCACCCAATTGTCGAAAACTGACCCAACATAATGATAACTTAAATACAACATTAATATATAGGAGGTAGCAGGGAGGAGTATGAGTCACCTTAGCCGTTTATTGAACTTCTTTTCCTTATCACCCAATTGTCGAAAACTGACCCAACATAATGATGGTGTGATTGGATACAGTAATAAAAAAATTTAAAACTACATTTTAGGGTCCGGCTAGGTTTCATGAAAATTTTTATGAAAATCATCATGAAAATCATATGCACCGTTGAATCATGAGACACATATTTAATCTAACGGTGCAGATAATTTTCATGATAATTTTCATAAAAATTCTTCATGAAACCTAACATTTCCCTTTTATAAGTATATCACGAGGTCCACGCGGAGACGAACCTTAACTTTTTGCAAGCCGTTTTAAAAGTATATTTTAAGTGTATGCCACGAGGTCCACGGGCCTCTTCGCAACCCATCTTTAAACAATAATCAGTGTGTTTGGTTTGAATTTTTTGTATTAAGTTTTTAGAAAATTAAGTTTTTTGATTTTTATATTTTTTTTGTTTTTAGTTAATATTTTTAAAATTTTAAATATTTTTTTTACATTTTTAGATGTACCTTACTTAGATGTATCTAAAAAGTAAAAAATTCGTGAAAAAATATTTTTAAAAATTAATAAATACATAAAAATATAAAAAATGTACTGAATTCTTGTATTTTTTTTATATTTTTGGTATTTAGTGAATTTTTAAAAGATTTTTTTTACATTTTTTTTACTTTTTAGGTGTATTTATATTTGGTGTGTCTAAAAAATAAAAAAAATGCTTAAAATATAAAAAAAAATTCAGTAAAAACAAAAAAATACGAAAAATAAGAAAGTAAAATTTTCTAAAAAGTATTTTTTTAAAAAATAAAAACAAGCAAGCTTAATAAATTCATAATGCTTATCAAAAAAATTATTTAGAAAGGTGAATAAGTGGACTACATTCATTATAGGGTAGCCAAGAAGACATTAAGGGTAAATTTAGAAACTTAATATAATAACTAAAAAATTTAAAATATATATATATCAAAAGTCAAAGAACTATATAAAAATATCAACAAAAAAAAATCCCTATTTTTTACACTTTTTTATAAAAGAATTAAAAAATTATTCTAAATATATTAATTTGTTCACTTTATATTTTAATCAAAAAGTTATTAAAATAGTCTATTTTCAAATAATCTCGTTTGACAATTCAATATTTTAGCTTAAAAGTCACTAAAAAAAAAAAAAGGCTAACAACCTATACAAAAAAGTTAAATATTTTTTTTTCTTTCTATCTTTTGCATATTTTTTCGTAAAATGTCAAACAATCATCTCAAACATATTATTTTTTTTACCTCATATTTTACTTAAAAATTTAAAACAAAATTATTAAAATAACATATTTCTAAACGAGTTAACCTATATACTCATTTTTTTTGATAAAATTTAGAATACATTTTGATGATGGGTAGCACTTTTAAAATAACAAATCACAGTTTTTTATAAAAAAAAATACGTACATATGCAAGTTAGAGAAAAAAATTAACAACACCTAGAGGGGTGCAACAGACAGTAGCACCCCGCAAACTTTTCTCCCAACTCCCTGCATGTAATTATCCCTTTCTTATTCAACCATACTGCAAAAAGCAATTCTAGCCTTTCAAATTAGGGTTAATTATAAAAAATAAAAATAATTTTTTTTTTTACATGTATTGTTATATTTATATTTTATGTGATTAATTTGGTAATTTTTCTGTGCCTGTAATCAATTATGGTTATTCTATAAACTTTTATTTTCTCTGTTATAAAGAGACCACTCACGGTGAAACAGATAAGCTTTGATCATCCACACAAGAGAGAAAAAGAGAGCTGAGCAACTTCAAAGTCTCTCTAAAAATATAATCCATGGAGGTCCAAAACAAACAACATCCAAGCCATGATGAAGAACAAGTGGTTGTAATCATGGTACCTTTTCCATGCCAGAGCTATCTAAACCAGCTCCTCGAACTCTCCTGTCTCATCTCCTCCTACAACATCCCAGTACACTATGCCTGTTGGGGCACCCACATTCACCAAGTCAAACAACGCTTCAATGGCACAAGAAACAATATTGATGATGTTAATGCCAACATCATTCATTTCCATGAGTTCCCCACTCCTCCAAATCTCTCACCATCGCCTTTGAAATCCTCTTTTCATCTCCGCCAACCCGTAGCTTCACTCTTACAAAAAATATCTCGCACAACCAGAAGAGTTATCATCATCCACGATGTCGTCATGGCTTATGTGATTTAAGACGGTGCTACTCTACCAAATGTAGAAGCATTTGCTTTTAATCCCATTTCTGCGATCATCAGTTTCTTCGATGGATGGAAAGTTATGGGAAAACCTTTCCAGAAGCGACAAGAAGTACCAGAAGGGTTGCCATCTATGCAAGATTCAGGCGTCACTGCACCTGAGCTTGTAAATCTTTCAAGTCTTCACTCTGATTTTAGATCTGGAAGTATCATTAATTCATGCAGATCAATTGAAGGTCCTTATATCGATTTGTTAGAAAAGGAACACATTGCTGCAGACCAGAAGCAATGGGCAATTGGGCCATTGAACTTATATGACAGCATAAATTCAAAAGGCCAACACAAATGTTTGGAGTGGCTTGATAAGCAAGCTCCAAATTCTGTGTTGTATGTTTCGTTCGGATCGACAACTTCAATGACAGATGAACAAATCAAAGAGCTTGCAATTGGGTTAGAACAAAGCGAGCAGAAGTTCATCTGGGTGTTCAGACATGCAGATGAGGGATCCATTTTTTCAGAAGATGTCAAGAGAGGTGAACTGCCAGAAGGGTATGCAGAGAGAATGAAAGAAGTTGGAATGGTGGTGAGAGATTGGGCACCTCAACTACAAATTTTGGGGCACCCATCAACAGGTGGGTTCATGAGTCACTGTGGATGGAATTCATGCACGGAGAGTATTTCCATGGGAGTGCCTATAGCTACTTGGCCTATGAACTTTGACCAACCCATTAATGCTTTTCTGGTAACAAACATATTGAAGGTTAGCATTCCAGTTAATCAATGGGCACAACAGAAGGAGCTAGTGAGTTCATCAACCGTTGCAAAAGCTATCAAAACATTAATGGCATCAAAAGAAGGAGAAGAGATGAGGAAGAAAGCTGAGGAACTAGGTGGTGCCACTCGGCTCTCTGTGAAGGAAGGTGGTGACTTGGATTCGTTCATTGCTCACATAAGTGCGTCCGGATCCTCTAGAGTGATCCTGTGAAGTGCGTGTCCCATTAATGGAACCAATGGCTGAGATGATGCCTAGACAAAATCACGTCGTTTTGGTACCCAAAAAAAAAAAAAAAAAAAAAATTCAGAATTTGCAGATTTGCAGATCGAGAGAGAGGATGAAGAAGATGAAGCCATTGATGGGGTCTTCAAGGTTTCTTGGGAAGTAACGGCATGAGAGAAAGAACACAATTATATATAGATTTCCATGGATGAAATTGTTGCAAACCCATTACAGAGGCGTCCGGATCCTCACAAGACGAAACAATCCAGGAGGAGAGAGAAGAGCTTATGGTTTCACCCACTGGTGGAATCCCAACTTCCAAAACAGCCCATTTTCTCAAACCCACAGTAGATTCCATTAGAGTTGTTCCTTCTCTTTCTTTATCCTCCAAACCCACCATTTCTGATTTCAAGAAAACCCAGTTCCTGGATCGGCGATACCCAGCTGAAAAATGGAAGACGTGGGTGGATCGCTTGCTTCCTCTGCACCACCATACATGGAAGAAAGCAGGTATATATGAAGCAATCTCGGGTTCTACTTACAACATCCACTTTCTTCTTCCTCAAATCCACTTTCTTCTTCCTCATCCTCTCTCTCGATCTGCAAATCTGCAAATTCTGAATTTTTTTTTTTTTTGGGTACCAAAGCAACGTCGTTTTGTCTAGGCATCATCTCAGCCATTGGTTCCGTTAATGGGACACGTGTCGCTCCATGAAAGATCACTCTAGAGGATCACTTCAGAGGATCACTCTAGAGGATCCGAACGCCACATAAGTAGGTAGGTTTGTTTCTTGTCCCGAGATGTTTTGGCGAAGAAATCAAATTGAGTAATAGTGACATTTTTGTGACGAGTTTGAAATTATTTTAAATTTGATAGCCTGATGAGAATCGACATTTTAAATCAAAGACACCCTCATCCCTAGCGATAAGACCCCAATTAGTGACGTTACTGTTTATTTTGGGAAGTCGGTTTTTAATACATTCTGCTTTGGTGTGTTTCTGATATTTTTCTATTTATTTTTGTGTGTAGTAAGGAATTTGCGTTATACAGTTTCGTTTGTTACAAATAATGATATATGCCTTAGGGAAAAACAATTTTTATTATAAATACTGATATATGGTTTATGGAAAAACAACTTTTATTCAATAATATTTAAAATTTTCTCTTCCTTGTGGATTCAAGATTTTATTTCTCATGGAATCGATATCCCTTTTCATTTACTAGAACGATATCTACTTTCTACAGACAATGCCATGGAATTCAAAAATGTTACTGTTCCAGAAAAATCTCCCCAAAAAATATAGATATTGAATTGATGCAATATGTAGTCTAAGTATACAATGAATTTGAGTCATAAATTAATGTTTTTGAATAAAATTTGAAGTAAAATTTAGGAATTGTACTATTATTGTATGGGAAGAAGCAGTTTGATCAATAAAATTATACTCCCTCCATCCCAAAATATTGACGTTCATTTTGGGAATCATAAATTAATGTTTTTGAAGTAAAATTTATAAAATTGTAGTATTATTATATGGGATTAAGTAGTTTGATCAATAAATCATATTGGTTAGTACTTGGGAAAGAGGAATATTGTCAGCCATTATAATACTCATTCAACAAATGGTTTTTTGTCATCATTTATATAAAAATTATAATACCATTTATATATTTTGTTAAGCTGAAATTTAAAAATTAATCATAATCGTCAAATATAAATTTAATCAATATACATAAACACACTTCAGAATATATAATTTTACTATTTTCTTAAGGAATTCAAATAAATTTACTTTTCATTGTTTATCAAAAATATCCCGCGGCAAGTTTTATTTTTCATTATACCAAACCAAAAAATTTTAAAAATGTATAACTCAAAACAATATCTTTCATAAATTTATTTTTTTTAAATATATATTTTATTCCATACATAGTATGATTACACTGCTAGTATCAATTATTAAAATGATTTATAGAACTTAATAGATCAAACTAAAACAAATTAAGCCTTAAATAAATTCTTTGGTTACAAAATTTACTTAAGATTAACTTCTATAAATTTAAATCTCTAACCAATTGTTTTAAAAAAGTATGCATTTCTCTGTAATTTTTATAATCAAAATACAAAATCATAAATGTTTGGAATAAAAACATTAATTATTAAAGTAAAAGAAAAAACAGGCACTACAAGAAAGCTGGGTATATGAGACGGAACTATTTGCGACGGCACACTTGCCGTCTCAAAAAGTCACTTTTTGAGACGGCAGAAAATGCCGTCTCAAAAAAGTAGAGTATTTGTGACGGCACCATTTGCCGTCTCAAAAAAGCAAAGCATTTGCGACGGCACTACTTGCCGTCTCAAAAAATGAGAGTATTAGCGACGGTATTTTCTGCCGTCGCAAATACTCTCATTTTTTGAGACGGCAAATTGTGCCGTCGCAAATACTCTGTTTTTTGAGACTGCATTTTCTGCCGTCGCAAATACTCTACTTTTTTGAGACGGCATTTTCTGCCGTCTCAAAAAGTGACTTTTTGAGACGGCAAGTGTGCCGTCGCAAATAGTTCCGTCTCATATACCCAGCTTTCTTGTAGTGCCTGTTTTTTCTTTTACTTTAATAATTAATGTTTTTATTCCAAACATTTATGATTTTGTATTTTGATTATAAAAATTACAGAGAAATGCATACTTTTTTAAAACAATTGGTTAGAGATTTAAATTTATAGAAGTTTTTTTTTGTATTTTTGGTATTTAGTGAATTTTTAAAAGATTTTGGTGATTGTGGTTTTGAGATAGCTTCATATATATACAGTCACAAAATGATTTGAATATATTCAACGGTATTTTTCTGTCGCAAAAAAAAATTAAAAAAAACAATGTCGTCTTACTCTTTTGATATAACATTTTTCTTTTCATTCATTTTTTCATTTTCCTGTCTCTCTGTCTCTATCTCTCTCTCTTCTCTTTATCTCTTTTCATTCATTTCTCTCTATCTCTATCTCTCTCTTATTTTCTCTCTGTGTCTCTCGTCTAGCTCTCTTCTCTCTATCTCTCTCATCTGTTTTCTCTCTCTGTCTCTCTCGCTCATCTCTCTTATCTCTATCTCTCTCATTTCTTTTTTCTCTCTCTCTTTCTCTCTCTCTTATCTTTCTATCTCTCTCTATCTCTCTCGCTCATTTCTCTTCTCCTTCCGTCTCTCTCTTTTTCTGTGTCTCTCTCTCGCTCATCTCTTTTCGCTCTATTTCTCTCTTTTTTTGTCTATCTCTCGCTCATCTCTTGTTTCTCTCTCTTTTTCTATCTTTCCATCTCTCTCTCTCTTTCTTTCTCTTTCTATCTCTTTTTCTGTCTATCTCTCTCTCCCTGTCTCTCTCTCACTCATCACTCTTTTCTCTCTCTGTGTCTACTTATCTATTTGTCTATTTCTCCCTCACTATGTTCGACTTGCTCACTCTCTTACTCCTATCTTCTCTATTTATCGAGCTCCTTCTCGATTTATCGATCCACTATAAGAAAATACACTTTTAACAACCACTTTGTCTATCTCTCTCTCTCGCTCATCACTCTATCTCTGTGTCTCTCTCTCTCTATCTCTCTTCTTTATCTGTCTCTCTCACTACCCATCTTCTCTACCACATTTACCACTGCTGCAAATGTCATTCAACTACCACCACTCTTCTCTTTCTCTCTTTCACTCATCACTCTTATTTCTTTGTCTGTTTGTCTATCTATCTGTTTGTCTGTGTGTCTTTCGTTCATCTTTCTTCTCTCTATCTCTCTCATTTGTCTTCTCTCTATGTCTCCCTCGCTCATCTCTCTTCTCTCTATCTCTCTCATCTCTTTTCTCTCTTTGTCTCTCTCGCTCATCTCTTTTCTCTCTATCTCTCTATTTTTCTATTCTCTCTATCGTTAATCTCTTTTCGCTCTCTTTCTATATGTCTCTCTCATCTCTTGTTTATCTCTATTTTTCTATATGTCTCTCTCTATCGATTTCTCTCTCTGCCTCTCTGTCTCTCTCTATATCTCTTTCTCTCTTTATCTCTCTCTCGCTCATCACTCTGTCTTTCTCTCTCTTCTCTATCTGTCTCTCACTCATTTCTCTCTCTCACCACCCATCTCCTCTACCACCTTCACCACTACTGCAAACACCATTCCACCACCACCATTACTTCTACTGTAGCCACTTCACCTCTACGACTACCATTTCTCTCTCTCTCGCTCATCAATATTTTTTTTAGATGCACCTTACTTAGATGTATTTAAAAAATAAAAAAATTATGACAAAATATTTTTAAAAATTAATAAATACACAAAAATACAAAAAAAAAAATGTATTGAATTATTGTAATTTTTTTTTTTGTATTTTTGGTATTTAGTGAAGTTTTAAAAGATTTTTTTATAATTTTTTTACTTTTTAAGTGTATTTATGTTAGGTGTGTCTAAAAATTAAAAAAATTACTTAAAATATTAAAAAAATTCAGTAAAAACAATATAACACAGAAAACAAGAAAGTATAATTTTCTCAAAAGAGTTTTTGGAAAACTCTAACCTAGCATAGTGATTGTGGTTTTGAGACAGCTTCATATATATACAGTCACAAACTGGTTTGAATAAATGCAACAGTATTTTTCTATCGCAAAAAAAATTAAAAAAAAACAATGTCTTCTTACTCTTTTGATATAACATTTCTCTTTTCATTCATTTTTTCATCTTCCTGTCTCTCTGTCTCTATCTCTCTCTCTTCTCTTTATCTCTTTCACTCATCACTCTTCTTTCTCTGTTTGTTTGTTTCTCTCTTTCATTTTCTCTCTGTGTCTCTCGCATATCTCTCTTCTCTCTATCTCTCTCATCGGTCTTCTCTCTTTGTCTCTCTCGCTCATCTCTCTTCTCTCTATCTCTTTCATTTCTTTTCTCTCTCTTTCTCTCTTATCTTTTTATTTCTCTCGCCCATCTCTCTTCTCTTTTTGTCTCTCTCTTTTTCTGTGTCTCTCTCTCGCTCATCTCTTTTCGCTCTATTTTTCTCTCTTTTTGTCTATCTCTTGCTCATCTCTTGTTTCTCTC